TCCCTCCCTCTCTCTCTCTCTCTCTCCCTCCCCCCCCTCCATCCTGCTTCCAGCATCCTTTAGCCCAGAGTTGAGCACCTGGGAGCTTTGCAAGGTCAGGCAGGAGAGGTGGGGGAAGGTGTCTCCAAGATGCTAAGGGGGTCATGGGTGTGGTTCTGCATCGACAGGGTGGCTACCGAGGCTCTGAGGCAGATGTATCCCTCACAGCTCTTGTTCTGATTGCCCTGGATGAGGGGAAGGAGTTGTGCAGCGACAAGATACCGGTAGGACCCAAAGAGGAGGGCAGATCCTGCCCTATCCTCTGCACCCAAGGATCACCCCCACCCTCATGTCCCTCTCAGTGCATCTCTCTTCTAACTCCCAGACCCTTTTCCTCTGATCCTCCCTCTAGCCTCCTCTCTCTGACTCTCTAGAATTTGATTGCCAGCATGGAGAAAGCCCGCAGCTTCCTGGAGAGACGCCTCCCTGACATTCAGAAAACCTTTGCCGTAGCCATAGCCTCCTATGCCCTGGCCCTCACCAAGAGCCCTCGAGCCAATGACCGCCTGGACAGCTTTGCCAGCCGTAGTGAGTGTGGGGCCACTTCTTCAGCAACTTGTGTATTAACCACAGTCATGGGAGTGGGGGAGGGAGACTGTGTGACCTCAGATCCAGCAATGCACGACTCATCATTTAGCATCTATTGAACACCTATGGTGTGCCATCCCTTGACCTCACACCCTGAGAAGCCGAGGTGAATAAGACTTATATAGTCACTGCCCTCAAAGTTCCCACCATGCCTGGGAGAGTCAGGCAGAAGGCAAATGGATAGAGAATTACAAATTGAGATAAGTGCTGAGAAAAGACATACAAAATGGGTGGGAGAGATGACAAGAGAAGTATGGATTGGGGGGCTGGGATGGCCTCTGTGAGAAGGGGACCTCCTCAGCTGAAATGAAAGATGGGAAGGCTCACCTCTGTGGAAGACCAAGGAATGGCACATGAAAGGCCCAGAAGCGGGAAAGTGCTTGGTATGGTGAAGGATAGAAAGGTCATGAAATGTGGGGAGTTGAGAGGGGCCTGCCTGCTATGGCCTGCCCTATCTGATCCCCAAAGGCCCCTTTCCACCCTCTCCATCCCCCAGTCAAGAGGAGTGGAGTTAGGAGAACTCCCTTTCAGCGAGGCTAGAAGGACCTGGAGAAGCTTCTTTCTAACTCAGTTTCCCCATCTCTAAATAGTCAGAGTCTCTCTCTTAGAGTGATTCAGAAAATACAATGTCCGTGTGCCTCCTCAGAGCTTCACATAAAGTAAGTGCTCAATAAAATCGCAGATGAGAAAAACTGGGCCAGATGACACAAGGAGAGGACAGGTTTAGGTAGGAGGGCCCAGATTTGGGTGACAAGGTGGGCATACATCTTCTAGACAAAAACTACTGGCCAGTAAAGGACAGGGACTGGAACTCCCTGTACACCATCGAGGCCACCGCCTATGCGCTGATGCAGAAGCTGCAGCTGGGTCTGCATAACGAGACGCATGCCATCGCCAAGTGGCTGCTGGAGAAGCGGGAGCTGGGAGGAGGCTTCAAGTCCACCCAGGTGACCCCGGCCTCGGAAGGGTGGGGGCTGGGCAGGGAC